TGTGTAATCCTGCCCACCTTAATTATGGGTGAGTCCTGGTCGAATCACCCACCAGTTTCCGCAGATGGGATCCAACCCAGAAACCAGTCCAGGTTTTCCATAACGTTCTCGCAACACCACCATTTCTCCCTGCTCCCCGTGGACAGGCATGGACGAAGCGGGGGGATATCCACGATCCTGTGGCAATTCAGTCCATGGGTCAGTGGACACACAGCCAAACATGTCTGCCATCTGACTGGCTTTGGGGTGGGGGTGGGGGGGGAGCGCCGAGGGGTTGCGCCATAGTGTTTATCTGCCCACAGCCACCAGCTTTCTGACTTGCAAGGCAAACGAGTGCTGGTGACCGGCTCAGTTTCAGAGCTAGCACAAGAAGGAATCTGCTCCTGCAGAAAAGATTTACAAAGCTGTTGCCAGGGTTGGGGGGTTTGAGCTATAGGGGGAGGCTGAATAGGCTGGGGCTATTTTTCCTGGAGCGTCAGAGACTGAGGGGATGACCTTATAGTGATTTTCAAAACCATGAAGGGCATAGATAGGGTGAATAGTTAAGGTCTTTTCCCTGAAGTGGTGGGGGGGTCCAAAGCTAGAGGGCATAGGTTTAAGGTAAGCGGGAAAGATCTAAAAGGAACCTAAGAGGCAATTTTTTTCAAGCAGATGGTGTGTGAATGGAATGAGCTGCCAGAGGAAGTGGTGGAGGCTGGAACAATTACAACATTTCAAATGCATCTAGATGGGTATCTGAATCGGAAGGGTTTAGAGGGATACGGGCCAAATACCGGCAAATGGGACTCGATCAATTTAGGATATCTAATCGGCATGGATGAGTTGGACGGAAGGGTCTGCTTCCGTGCTGTACAGCTCTATGACCAGCAGGCAGGCAGGCAGAGACGGGTTAAATTGTGCAAGGAATCCCATACAAATCCGAGCTCCGTCTGTGACTAACCGCAGGATCTGCTTCACTTGGCACAGAGCAACCTGGACCCAGCTTGTTCTGTCAATAAACCAGCAAAGAATTGACTGCACGATTAACTCTCCTTCACTTATAACTCAACTAACAGACAACAGAGAACATTTCCAATCTGTACCCATTCGCAGGGAAAGCAGAACGTAAGTTCTTTTCTTAAAAACACAAGCAGCATCCCTGAGCTCAGCTTTTAAATATGATCTTCACATTTGTCTCAGAGAGGATGGAAAGACAAAAGTATGGGCTGAAACTGGGTTCAATTATTTCAATGTTACTATGATGCAGCCAGTAATATTCAAAAGCTTTGTCGGATAATCACTGGCATATAATGTTCGCAGCGACAAACTTAAAAATAAACCTGAATTGATACCAGCAGGCGATGAGAATTCTATCCATGTGGTGTAACTGTAGGGGCAGGGGTGGGGAGGGTGCCTGGCTCGTGGTGGTAGCTTTTCCTTTCACCACTAATCTCAACGAGTATTAGGATTCTCCAGAGAGATGATCATATGTATATTTAAGACCCAATGTAATGCAGCTGGGTCCCACGTGGCATTTGCAGCAATCTTGTAACAGCTGCCTAAGCTGTTTATGCTCTATTCCCTTTGAAATAAGGCCAACATTTCATTTGCCTTCCCTATTACTCACTGAACTTAAATGCTAGTTTTTTTTTGTGCTAAATGGATGAAGACTCCCAAATCCCTCTGTTCCTTAGCTTTCTTCAGTCTTTCTCCATTCAAATAATATTCAGCTCCTCTATACTTCCTGCCAAAGTGCATAACTTCATACTTTGCCACATTATATTCCATCTTCCAAAATCTGTCTACATCCCTCCCCACAGACGCTGTGTCTATCCTCACCACTTGCCTTCCCATCTATCACTCTGCAAACCTGGTGACGGTACATTCACTTTCCTCATCCAAGTCATTCATATCTATTGTCAAGAACTGTGACCCCAGCACTGATCCCTGGGGCACTCCATGGTTACAGGTTGCTATTCTGAAAATGTCCCCCTCATCCTGACTCTTTACTGGTTAGCCAATCCTATATTTAAATACTACCTCCAAAAACATGGAAACTTATTGAATGGCCTAATGTGTAAGGTATCTTCACTTGAATGAGATAAAAACAGTCCTCAGTAAACTCAGCAAAAATCCTCAGACACCACTTTCCAAACCCACGATCACTTCCATCTAGAAGGATAGGGGCAGCAGATATATGGGAACACCACCACCTGCAAGTTCCCCTCCAGACCACTCACCATCCTGACTTGGAAATATATCACCATTAAGGGCAGCGCGATGGCTCAGTGGTTAACACTGCTGCCTCACAACGCCAGGGACCCAGGTTCGATTCCACCCTCGGGCGACTGCCTGTGTGGAATTTGCATGTTCTCTCTGTGTCTGTGTGGGTTTCCTCCGCGTGCTCTGATTTCCTCCCATGGTCCAAAAATATGTAGTTTAGGGTGGATGCTAAATTGCCCATAGTGTCCAGGGAGGTGCAGGCTAGGTGGGTTAGCCATGGGAAATGCAGGGTTCCAGGGAATAAGGTTGAGAGGGAACGGGTTGCTCTTCAGAGGGTCGGTGCAGATTCGATGGGCTGAATGGCCTGCATCCGCACTGTAGAAATCTATGATTCTATGTAAATAAACAGATAATAATGCCATGCCTGCTCAATAGGAAAGTTATGAAAATCACTCAAGAGTCACGAAACTGATGGCAAGAGCTACAAAAATAGTGCAGGAACCGAGGGCTCTCAAGTGATATCAGAATCAACGTGAACGTGGTTTATAATTATAGTCCGTGAAAGAAATATGGGGGACCCTTGAAAAGTGAACATGATGAACTGTCGTGCTGAATATTTCCAAATGACTATCATTCTCACTTTGAACAATTGCTGCGTTAAGGACATACTCCATGTCTCATGCCGCAGCTGATTACAGCATTCAAAGCTGGCAAGACTTTTCATCCTGAAAAGGTGCCCAGCTCCACAAGAGACTTCCCCATGAGTGGGCTGTCTCCTCCAGGCTCCCACCCACCTTGGTGAAGACATCCAAACCTAGGCACATCCTGAAGGGAAGCTGGCGTTGAAACCAGGATCGTTGTGTGTCAGGTCTTGACCCCGGCCTCGTTTTCACACCAGGGAATGTGGCGGCTACCAGGGACCTCCTGGGAATGTTAAATTACAGACCACTCCAGCCCAATCACTTTTGGCCATCAGTGGTAGTCACCAGGAGAGCACAGTGCAGCCCAATAGCTCTTTACAGGGCATATCCCATGAGGAAAACCTTGGGATAAGGAAGAATTTGCTCCAACTCTTCACTGACTTTTAACACTTCAAGATCCTGAAAGGAGGTTTCATACCGAAGCAGAAACAAAGCACATAGATAAGACACGGAGCTTTACAGACGGAGATGTTTCCGAGTGCCACTTACTTAATGACATACAGAATGTATAGGATGTCTGCCTGATCTTGCAGAGTAAGGCACTCCTTCAGCTGTTCCACAAGCGATCCAATGTCCACCTCACCATGAGCATCCGTTGGCAAACTGAGATCCACTCGGTGGTCTGACTTGGTCTAAAACAGAAATAGAAGAAACTCAATTGTTTCCTTTTCAGCATTTTTCATTTGTAATACTGAATATGGAATCAAAAAACACTCAAAGTCTACATGTCTCAGCGCAGCACTCTGCTTCATGGTGTTGTATTTTTGTCACACTTTGAACCAGATGCCTCACCATTATAAACCCTTCTGTCTATAGTTAGAGGCTTGGAACACTGCAGCAATTAACTCCCCTCCTGACTCCCCAAAGCCTGTCCCACCATTGACCAGGCACAAATCAGGAGTGTGATGGAATACTCCCCACTTGCCTGGATGGGTGCAGCTCCAACAACACTCAAGAAGTTTGATACCATCCAGGACAAAGCAGCCCGCTTGACTGGCACTACATCCACAAGCATCCACTCCCTCCACCACTGACGCTCAGGACGCACTGCAGAAATTCACCAAGATCCTAACCCACAACCACTTCCATCTCAAAGGACAAGGGCAGCAGATACATGGGAACACCACCACCTGCAAGTTCCCCTCCAAGCCACTCACCATCCTGACTTGGAAATATATCGCTGTTCCTTCACTGTCGCTGGGTCAAAATCCTTCCCTAACAGCACAGTCTTTCCATCACTGGCTGGGAAAAGCCTACATCTTGCTTGGAAGGAGTTACAATTACCCGACACATGCACACCATGTACACGATGATTGGACACTCACCTCTAGGAAGCCACAATTCACATGAACTGGTTTTAATACCTCTGAGTTACCAAAACAATCACATCTATAACCCATCTCCTGTCCTTAATTTCCTGAGTACTTGTGTACGTGGATAGAGTAATGAAGCAATTCCTGTGTGTTTTGAATGTTTTGTTAATCAGCCCTAACTCTGACTTCAGCTTAAAGGTCTTTTTGCTGTAGGTTTAATTCAAAAATCGGAATCCAAAAACCAGTGTTTGGGGAGCAGGAGAGAAATAGGAAAGGAGTAAATCAAACAAAGACTGAGACAGGGAGGTATTAAGAAGGGAGATGTAGATTCTAATTTAAATTCACCCCCAATTGCTTCTTTGTCTGTGATGAAAGGAAGGGGCAAGGCAGTGTAAATCAAGGCAGGTCAGAGTAAAAGTCACATATTGGGACAGGGAGGAGGTCCGGCTGTGTGTCTGTCACAGGATAGGTTATAAATGAAAATGCAGGACAACAAGGCTAACAATTTCAGGATCATTTCCCTCACCTTGTTCAAACTGGCATAGACTGGTCAGGCTAAAGGGCTGCTGTATAAGGGTGTGTGTGTGTGAATCACCACAACACAGTGGCTTCAGCGATTAGCACTGTTGCTTCACAGCGCAAGGGGCCCAGGTTCAATTCCACGCTCAGGCAACTGTCTGTGTGGAGTTTGCATATTCTCCCTGTGCCTGCATGAGTTTCCTTCGGGTGCTCCGGTTTCCTCCCACAGTCCAAAGATGTGCAGGGTAGGGTGGGTTGGCCATGGGGAATGTGAGGTTATGGGAAGGGTCTGGGTGAGAAACTCTTCAGAGGGTCAGTGCAGACACAATGGGCTGAATGGCCTCTATCTGCACTGTAAGGATTCTACGAATGCACAGACGGAGAGATGGACAGATAATAAAAGAGTGTTAAAGGTTATGAAGAGGAGGCAGGAACATGGAATCGGGACCACATTCAGTATTCAGATCAGTCATGATCTTGAATGGTTAAGCATGCCAAAAGGGCTGTATCTCCTGCTCCTGCTCCAAATTCACATGTACAGTGCCAAAGGAGACCATTCAGCCCACACGCCTGTGCTGGATCTTTGAAAGAATCGCCTTCCTTGCTCTGTTGCTGCTATTTTGTCCATGATCCTTACAGCCCTCATCCTCTCGCACCACTTGTATCCCTTTGTCTGACTTTTTTTTCCCCTGATTCTAACAACTGAACATTTCTCCTCATTCCCTCCTCCCCTACTCAATGTTTATGGTCAATGATTGGAATCTACAATCAATGATTACTGAGCAGTGGAGGAGACTGTTCTACTCCCCCTCTCTCTACTTAAATCAGAGCTTTCAGATCATCCTGAAGGTCAGTACCAGGCCACCTCTGTCCTGAGAGCACTCCCAACATTTCCAACCTCTCTTCATGATTGCAGTCACTCAGCACATTATCATCCTGGTGAACGTCCTCTGTATCTCATCTGGGGCTTTCAGATTGTTTCACAAAAGCTTAGGGATCAGAACTCAATCAGGACTGGAATGGTACCAATGGGGTGGATTCTAAAAGAACCAGTTTCCCAGCGTAAAGAAGGTGAACAGGAAAACGGCAAAGAGTTTAAAACTAGCAAAGCGGGCAGCAGGGATCTCAAGAAAACAAGGCAAACTAGAGAGAGTAGAGAATTTCCCCCAGAGGAGGAGCCAGAGTGCAGCGGGAGGCCACTGATATACAATAGGTCCGTAAAAATATCAGCATTCATTAAACAAGCTTCAACCAGAGAATATGGAATTCACTCCCACAGTGAGTGGCTGAGGGTAATCATGGAGAACATTCATGGAGAAATGAGAAGATGGGAACAGTGGATTATTGAGATGGATTCAGATGAGGAAGAAATGGGACGTGGCTTGAGTGGAGCTTAAAGACTAGCACAGACTGGTTGGGCAGAATGGCCTGTCTCTGTGACTTGTGGAAGTCGAGATTTATTGACCGTTAAGTAAATAATGATAAAAGAGCACTCCCTCCAATTCCCAGTGCGCCTGGGCCCATAGATCGCGAGAAAATCAGTTCTACCAGAAATAGCTGGCATATCAGTCTCCCCCTGCAGGTCGTGACTGCTGTACAGGGAAGGGGATACATCTCGTGCTGGATGTACACACAAGTTAACTTTTTGAGTCCAGTGATACTTCATCAGATGAGTCCGCTCCTCTCTCCACAGATGCTGCCAGACCTGCTGAGTTTCTCTAACATTCTCTACCCTTGTTTCAGATCTCTAGCGTCAGCAGCATTTGCCTTTACTGTAATCTTTTGCTGGATTGGAGCTAGAAGGCAGCTTGGCTGGACTAACTGGGAAGCTCGTTCAGAAAGAAGTACAGTTTCGATGGGCCAAATGGCCTCTTTGTGTGCTGTGCTTTTCTACATATTCCCATTTCATCTGGCACAGGTGACAGTAAATATTAGGTAATGTCCTGCTATACTACTCAAAGAAAACCATCCTATGTAGCATAAACAGTTCTTCAGTCATGACCCTCTTCAATAGTTTTGTTCCTTTGTTTAAAATGCGTCAATGAGTCACATTAAACACTAACCTTCCCTGGCTGCAGTTTTGGCACTTCCAATAAGTTTGCAGTTTTCTGTTGAGAAATTGGAACTTTAATGGGCAGGTACAAGGAGACATCTGTGAAAAGAAACATCAAAGGAGACACATAGGATTCAGACACGCTTGTAGCAGTCATGGACAATACTTGTATTTACACCCAGCTCGCAGCAGTTTCAGTATCAGGTATTACTAAAAGTACAGAACGACAGGAAGGGGTTTCCCTTAGATTAGGCAATTAAATCATTTACAGTAAGTCTGTATACATGTGTGTGTGTGAGAGAGAGACCGCGCGCACGTGAGTGTGTATGTGCGTGTGTGAGAGAGAGACCGCGCGCACGTGAGTGTGTATGTGCGTGTGAGAGACCGCGCGCACGTGAGTGCGTGTGAGAGAGACCGCGCGCACGTGAGTGCGTGTGAGAGAGACCGCGCGCACGTGAGTGCGTGTGAGAGAGACCGCGCGCACGTGAGTGCGTGTGTGAGACCGCGCGCACGTGAGTGCGTGTGTGAGAGACCGCGCGCACGTGTGTGAGAGAGACTGTGCACACGAGTGTGTGCGAGTGCGCGCACGTGTGTGAGAGACTGAGAGACAGCGCGCACGTGTGTGAGAGACTGTGAGAGACAGCGCGCACGTGTGTGAGAGACTGTGAGAGACAGCGCGCACGTGTGTGAGAGACTGAGAGAGACAGCGCGCACGTGTCTGGGTGTGTGAGACAGCGCACACGTGTGTGAGAGATTGTATGAGACTGCGTGCACGTGTGTGAGTTGTGAGAGAGAGAATGTTTCTGTTCTGGAAGACTGCATATGAGAGAATGCCTGTTTGTGTGTGCACGCAAGTATATGTGAATTTGTGAGTGTGCATGATGAGAATTCTAACAGGTCGACCTGTTTATGATGGTAGTGACTCCTGTGTTTAACAGGGAGTCTGCAAACAGGGCACAGTTAGAGTGTTGTTAGAGGAAAACCCTGTTGTCAGCAAGCAGAAGGTCAAAGGGATTTCAACCCATCTGCAAACCTTCAAAACAGTCACTAACCCAAGTGGTTAATCCTCCCATTTCTGGTCAAAATCTGGCAGGGAATTTTTTTTTTGTCAAACATGTGTAGAAGGAAACATAAGTTGGAAAGTTTGGCTCAGATTATAAGTAAACCACGTTCACTATATTTTGAATACCTTGGAGGTAGAGCATAGTGCCAGGGTTTTAAGATGAACCTTCATTACCTTTTTTGTCAATAGCAGGTTTTCATGTTTGAACAGAATAATACAACTTAGTATCAAGATCATAAAGGCAAATAAATCATATTACTCTCATTTAGAACAAGCAAACTGATTACTTGGTAACTCCAGTCCCTTCACTTTGGCCACCATTGATATTATGTCCCTCGTAGTGTGAGCAGTCTCAAACACATGATGCATGCCTGGACTTATTGATGTTGGAGGCAGTCGCTTTGACACGGGTGTTGTGCTTTGGAGCAGATGATTTATATATTTCACAAGCTCATCTTCACTATCAACTGTGGATGTTAAAAAAAAACAGTAGATGGCACAAGTCGAGACTCATTACTCAAGATTGTTTAACAGAAGACTGAGCAGCCAGATACTTGCAAATCACCCTTTGTCGAGTTCACAAAAACTCTAGCTCTTTCTCTGTGTCTCAGCAGATTCTCGACATCAAGCCTCTCCACGAGACTTCTTTCCAGCAGTTAGACCCAAGACCTGTTCCTGGGCTAACCTCCTGAAATACACACAGCAGCAGCAGCAAGATGTCTTAAAATAAAAACCTACTAAAAGGACCTCTATCCATCTTGTACTTAGCAGGACACTTGCAAGAATGCCAATTTTCAAAAAGGTAACAACTACTTACACTGCACGAGAAAAGGGGACTGACTGGATGGCAGCTCAACTTTGATTGGTTCGGGTGTTGCCATGGCCCATGAGCCCTGGAAATGTCGTCCCCCATGCTTTTATTTAGAAAATACCTGGACATGGTCCTTTTCAGAATATAACAGCAGGCCTTCTCTATTTACATCATCTGCCTGCTTTCATTATGTAACATAAACTGATGGGACAGATTTCAACTCAGCACTGGCTGCAACTTTAAGATAAAGCAGCTTTTGGTTTGTCTCCTCAGGTGAGTACAAAACACCATCCATAAATGATTTCTGAGAAACAATTAAGAGGGACAATGACAACTAATTTCAAAGCGTTGAGCTCACAGAGTGATGTACAGGAGCTACATATGTTAATCGTAGAGTCATACAGCATGGAAATAGACTCTTTGACTCAACTCGTCCATGCCTAAACTACGCATTTCCCAATTGCCTGCATTTGGCCCATATCCCTCTAAACCATTCCTATCCATGTACCTGTCCAAATGTCTTTTAAGTATTGCAAATGTACTCACCTCTACCACTTCCTCTGGCAAATTATTCCATATGCACCACCCTCTGTGTGAAAAAGTTGCCCCTCACATCCCTTTTATATCTTTCCCCTCTCACCTTAAACCTATGCCCTCTAGTTTTGGACTCCCTTGCGCTGGGAAAAGACCTTGACTATTCACCCTATCCATGACCCTCATGATTTTATAAACCTCTATAAGGTCACCCCTCAGCACCCGACGCTCCAGGGAGAATAGTCCTAGCCTATCCAGCCTCTCCCTATGACTCCATCTCCCTCCAGTCCTGGCAACGTACTTGTAAATCCTTTTTTGCACCCTTTCTAGTTTAATAACATCCTTCCTATAGCAGGGCGTGCAGAATTGTGTGCAGTGATCCAAACGTGGCCTTACCAATGTCTTGTACAATTGTAACATAATGTCCCAAATCCTAGACTCAATGTTCTGACCAATGAAGGCAAGCATGCCGAACATCATCTTCACCACCTTGTCTCCCTGGGACGCCACTTTCAAGGAACTATGTATCTGCACCCCTAGGACTCTCTGTTCAACAACACTCCCCAAGGCGCTGCTATTAACTATATACATCCCACCCTGGCTTGTCCTACCAAAGTGCATTTATCTGCATTAAATTCCATCTGCCAATCCTCGGCCCACTGGCCCAGTTGATTAAGATCCCATTGTACTCTTCTTCACTGACCATCAATTTTAGAGTCACCTGAAAACTTACTAACGATGCCTTCTATATTCTCATCTGACTCATTCAGATAAGTGACAAACAACAGCAGACCCAGCATCAATCCATGCAGCACACTGCTGGTCACAGGCCTCCAGTCCGAAAAACGACCCTCTACCACCACCATCTGTCTCCTACCATCAAGCCAATTTTGATTGCAATTGGCTAACTCCCCCTGAATCCCGTGCGACCTATCCTTGCAAACCAGTCTACCATGCAAAACCTTGTTGAAGGCCTCGCTAAAGTCCATGTAGGCAACATCTATTGCCCTACCCTTATCTATCTTCTTTATCACCTCTTCAAAAAACTCAATCAATTTTGTGGGACACAATTTCTCATGCACAAAGCCATGTTGACTATCTCTAATCAGTTCTTACCTTTCCAAATGCATGTAAATCCTGTCCCTCAGAATCCCCTCCACCAACTCTCCCAACACTGACATCAGGCTCATCGGTCTGTAGTTCCTTGGCTTTTCTTTACGGTATTTCTTAAATAATGGCGCATCATTATCCTCCCTCCAGTCTTCCAGTACCTTATCCATGGCTGTCAATGATACAAATACTTCCACAAGGATCCCAGAAATTTCTTCCCTAGCCTTCCACAAAGTGCCGTGTTACACCTGATCAGGACCTGAGGATTTGTCTACCTTTATGCATTTTAAGACCTACAGCACCGCTCTTCTGTTATACGAACTCTTTTCAAGACATCACTATTTATTTCCCCAAGGTCCCTAGCTTCTACGTCAGTACTTACTGTGGAGAAAGACGAGAAATATTCATTTAGGGTCTTATCCATCTCCTGTGGTTTCACATATTGACGGCCTCGTTGATCTTTAAGGGGCCCTCTTCTCTCCCTAGTTACTCCTTTGCCTTTAATGTACATGTAGAATCTCTTTGGATTCTCCTCAACATTATCGAGGTGTTGCACTTTGGTAAGACAAGCCAGGGTGGGATGTATATAGTTAATAGCAGGGCCCTGGGGAGTGTTGTTGAACAGAGAGTCCTAGGGGTTCAGATACATAGTTCCTTGAAAGTGGCATCCCAGGGAGACAAGGTGGTGAAGATGATGTTCGGCATGCTTGCCTTCATTGGTTAGCATTGAATCTAGGATTTGGGACGTCATGTTACAGTTGTACAAGACATTGGTACCTCATGTCCCCTTTCTGCCCTCCTGATTTCTCTCTGAAATGTACTTCTCCACCCCCATACTCCTCAGGGGATTCACTTGATCCCAGCTGCCTATACCTGACATATGCCTCCTCCTTTTCCTTGACCAGAGCTTCAATACCTCTAGTCATCCAGCATTCCCTACTCCTGCCAACCTCACCCCTCACACTAACAGGAACATGCTGTCCCTGAACTCTTGTTATCTCGCTTTTGAAAGCCTCCCACCTGCCAGACATCCCTTTACCTGCGAACAGCCTCCCCCAATCAACTTTTGAAAGTTCCTGTCTAATAGCATCAAAATTGTCCTTAACCCCAAGCTAGAACTTTAACTTTTCCATCACTATTTTAAAACTGATAAAATTACATTCACCTGACCCAAAGTGCTCCCCCCACTGACACCTCAGTCACTTGGCCTGCCTTATATTCCTAGAGAAGGTTCGGTTTTGCCCCTTCTCCAATAGGGCCATCTACGTATTAATTAGGTTTTTCTGAACACACTTAAACTCCTCTCCATCCAAGCACTGAACACTAAGGCAGTCCCAGTCTATGTGTGAAAAGGTAAAATCCCCTACTATTACAATCCTATTATTTGTACAGCTACCTGTGATCTCCCTATGTATTTGCTCCTCAATTTCTTGCTAACTGTTGGGAGGCCTATAAGTACAATCCCATCAAAGTGGTCCCCCCCTTATATCTCGGTTCCACCCAGATAGCTTCAGTGGATGACACCTTGGGAATATTCTCTCTAAGTATCACCGTGAAGTTCTCCCTAATCAAAAATGCCACTCCCCCTCCTCTCTTGCTTCCCTTTCTATCCTTCTTATAGCATCTATACCCCAGAACGCTGAGCTGTTAGACCTCTCCCTCCTTCAGCTATGTCTCTGTAATAGCTACAATATCCCAGTCCCACGCTCCCATCCAGTCCACAGGATCCTGCAGGCACAACATGGACCTGTTTCAACTGAACTGAATGAACTAGCTAACAACCAATCTCCGATTCACTCCACAAGGTTGAATTGCAAAAGCTGTGCAGCTCCCCCTGGAGCGATGGAGCAGCTGTTGGGGACCTGGTTTGGTAGGTGTGTGCAACATTCTGAGCAGCTTAGATAAATAGACGAAATGGAAGCAGGAGTAGGCCATTCAGCCGTTTGAACCTGCTCAACCAATAAGAAATTTCTCCTCATCCCAATCCTGAATGGCCTACCCCACGTTCTTAAACTGTGACCCCTGTTCTGGATCTGCCCAGCTGTGATAACCCCTACAAAGCCCATGGGGGATCACCCATTAATCTCCTTATGGGGGTCACTGAGTGCGAGTTCCCCTGGTAACAGTCTGCCCAACTGGAACTCATCATCTGAGCCCTTGATAAAGCAGACCCAGGACTGTTAGGGTCTTGGGCAGCAGTGGTAAATGTCTGAGCCAGAAGACTTTGGTTCAAGTCTCACCTGCTCCAGAGGTGTGTGATAACATTTCTGAGCAGGTTAATTAGAAGATACAATAAAGCCGATCCAGACCTGGGTGTTATTGGAGAGGGAGTACGCGGTGTCTATCGTAGCTCTCCATGCCATTAGGGAGAAGTGGGCACTACGGAGGATACAGGGCTTTACTGCCCCCTCCAACTCCATTTTGATTTAGTCCCTTCCGTCTCTCCCTACCGTCCCCTCACCTTTGATGGTTTGCATTGGTCTTAACAGGCTCTAAGTAAATTAATCAATTGGAAATGCAGGTGATTAACAAGTGAAAAGAAAAGCTATTGTGTTTTGGTAGTAGGAAAATAAACCACTCAGTTGTGTGTGATAACACTTTTGGACATATTAAAATAAAATCAAAGCAGACCCAGAGTTACAATCGTGGTGCACTTGTTGTGTCCTTACCTCTGGGCCAGGAGGTCCAGGTGCAATTCTGACTTGCTCCAGAGGTGTGTAATAACATCATTGAACAGCTTGATTCAAAATAAAAATAAAGCAGACCCAGGTCTGTCCTGGGATGGGACTAGGCTTTATACGCCACAAGTAGTGGTTCTATTTCAGTGTTCAGCAATAAACGATGTTCTGGCATTTCATGAGCTACTACACCAGTCATCGGGAACATCCTGTGTTCATCGGTCTAATCCTGTTAGAATGTTATAGGTTTCTGTGAGATTCTCCCCCTCAGTCTTCTAAACTACAATGAGTACAATCCTAAACAACTCATATGTCAGTCCTGCCGTCCCAAGAATCAGTGTGGTAAACCTTCACTGCACTCCCTCCATCGCCAGAACATCCTTCCTCAGGTAAGGAGACCCAAACAGCACACAGTGCTCCAGGTGTGTTCGGGGCAATGCCCTGTACAATTGCAGCAAGACATTTCCACTCCTGTACTCAAATCCTCTCTCTGTGAAGGCCAATATACTATTTACCTTCTTCACTACTGGCTGTGACTACGTGCTTATTTCCAGCGAGAGGGTTAAAGCAGACAAAGGAAAACGGAACCCATGAATTGATGTTACAGAGATTTGGACACAGACACACACGAGTAAGGGATACAGGGAGTTGGGGGAATGTGGGGAATAACTTTCTACAGAGTCAGTAATAGTAGCCGGGAACGTGCTGCCTAAGAAGTGACAGATCAGTGATTTGGAATGGAAACTCTGGAGATAAAATGTAGTTACATCGCCAAGGGACAGAGCTGGAGGAATTGGGACTGATGGGTTGCTGTGCAGAGATGGCCTGGACCCAATGGGCTGACTGGCCTCCTTCTGCGCCGAGCTGTCTCTGTGACCATGTGGGACACAAAACTGTCCCCCCGACACACCACTGAGCAGAACCCCTGGAGCCCTGACAGAATATAATGCCGAATCACTGCTCACAGCTCCCAGCTCCAACTTACATCGCTGTGCCATTGGAGTGGGGATGATAACACACCACCAACCCAACCCTGCCCCCTTCTATGAAGGCCTTCCAGGAAATCAGAGGCTGTAACTTCAATTGTACCTTAGACCCCGCAAGTTGCCAACAGTGCCACTGGGAGCTAGTGGTGGGTGCCAGTACTGCAGGAAGCTGTGACGATGGAAGTTGGGGGAGTGCGTGGAGTGGGTGGGGGAGGGTTTGATAGACACAGTGAGAGGGAACCTGCAGACAGATAAGTGCTGAGGTCCTTGTCTGGGGTGGGGGTCGGGGTGGTGGGGTTTGACCCTGGGCTGTAGGGGATTTCTCCTTTAGGGAGCAGGGACTGCCCAAGAGGACACTGTCCCTCACCCTGCCACAGGAATAGGGTCCACCCTGGGTCACCGAAGAGCTGCCAATATGGCAAGGCCTCCACCTTCCCCCAAGTAGAGAACTCCTGCACACAGAATGAGTCCTTGAAGTAATCACTCAAGAGACTCAAAATGGCTGTCAGGCAGCAAGGCCTGGAGATGCTCTACTGGGCCTTAAATCCTGCAATGAAGTTTCTCCACCACCATCCCATATGATTTAACACCTACACCTCCCCCCTCACCTTCGATTACAATTCTAAAATCTAAGCCTGCGCCTCCAAAGGTGTCAATGGACCGTGGAAATGACTTCTGAAAATCTCTCCACTCACACAAGGTAAAATTCACAACTGGTAAATTCATTCGTTTTTGTTTTTAAAACATATTAAAAGGAAAGCGATCTTTGATTTGATCTTTAGCAATTGAATCAATGGGCTGAAAAGTGGCAAATGGAGTTTAATTTGGATAAATACCAGGTATTGCACTTTGGTAGAACAAACAAAGACAAGATTACAATTAAAAGTAAGACCTTGGGCAGTGTTGCATAACAGAGACACCTAGGGGTTCAGGTACATAATTCCTTGAAATTTGCATCATATATAGGTAGGGTGGTTAAGAAGGTGTTTAGCACACTTGCCTTCATTGCTCAGATCTTTAAGTATAGGAGTTGGGACGTCATGTTGAGGTTGTACATGACATTGACGAGACCTCTTCTGGAATATTGTGTTCAGTTCTGGCCTCCCTGTTATAGGATGGATATTATTAAGCTGGAGATTGTTCAGAACAGATTTACCAGGATGTTGCCAGGAACGGAGGGTTTGAGTTGTAAGGAGAGGCTGGGACTTTTTTCACTGGAGTGCGGGAGGTGGAGAGGTGACGTTACAGAAGTTTATAAAATCATGAGGATTATAGATATGGCGAATAGCATGTGTCATTTTCCTGGGGTGGGGGCATTCAAGGCTAGGGGGTATATTTTTAAACTGAGAGGAGACAGATTTAAAAAAGACATGAGGGGCAATTATTTTACACAGTGAGTGGGTCGTGTGTGGAATGAACTTCTGGAGGGAGTGGTAGATGTGGGTACAGTTACAATGTTTAAAAGACATTTAGATAACTACATGAATAATAAATGGTTGGAGGGATATGGGCCAAGCACAGGCATGTCGGATTAGTTTAGTTTGGGATTGTGGTCGGTATGGACAGGTTGGACCAAAGGGTCTTTTTCCATGCTTTATGACTGAACTGCCTTTGTACTTGGTATTTCCAAAGAACGTGTGAAAGGCCTGGTGCTTCTAACAGTTTGTGAGGGTCAGGCCTGAAGTGTATTTGGAGCTATTTTCCTTACCATCGTTTTGATAGCACGAATCGTTCACAGAGACAGCGTCTTCCATCTCGTGGCTCAGGCTGGCACTGTCTTCGCTGAAACAGTCGTCCAACAGAAGGCCATCGGGCCCTGGGTCTAAGAAGCTCAGATGTGTATAGCACGAGGTAATGAGGAACTCGGATAATCTGCCCGTTTTGATCCTGAAAGATGAAGCATTGCACTCACAGGTCACCACACACCGGCACTCATGAAACACTCAGGCAACGATGACCGCAAAAATTAACGAGCAAGAAGATGGGGACACAAGTAGAGATCGGCACGAGGTGATGACGCACATGTGAAGGGCACAATGGGCTGAATGGCCTCATTCTATGCCGTAACAATTCTGCCATTTGCTCGGCATTAATTGCACAACCGGCCAACGCAGCAGAGAAATCCATACCTGGCCCCGCCAAAGTATCCGTCCTGGAGTTTCCGAAGGGTGCTGAGAATATTGGAGTCAATATCTGTCCCGTCGTCAGCTGCAACAGGAACAGGCAGTCTTTGTCAGCAATAAAATCTAACGCATTCACCAGACTTCCAGTCAAAAAGGTCACAATCTGGACTTGCCCCCCCACCCCGCTCAGAGGGTCAGTGTTTGGAGGTCGAGAACAGAGGAGCAGTCTCAGCGACCCTCTTTGGAATAACAGGACTATGTGAGGGACCGGTTGTGGGGAGTGGGGAAAGGGGTGGTGGGTGTTAATTTCCTGGTCAGGGATCCGAAGCGAGAGATGGGGAAGGGCCCTAGATCTGGTCCCTCAGTTGGGCTCTCTCTGGTCCATGGAGCCCCTTTAGAAATCCTCATTGCTTGGGCAAACAGGGACACCGGATGTCAATGGTTAATCCCAGCAATCGGAAGTGGGGGTCGGGGGGTGGGGTGGAGGGCACATAAGACTCAAGTGGTCCTCACTTGGCCCCTGACAGACAGCAACCCACCGTGGGACAGTCAACCATTAGCCTGCCCGCTCAGAGGAGGGAGCGGGCTTTCCTCAGTAAATACCCATTCCCCACCCTGAAACCCATCACCTCCTGGAGGAGGCGCCCCATCCCCAGAGATTCTTCACCAGACAGAGTGGCATCATTTCTGAATGAGTAACTCGAGTGACGTTGGGTTTCGCAGGAGGAGGGAGTGAGGAGAAGGGACACAATCCTTACACAGCATGCTCTGAGTGATGGGGAAGGTCACAGTCGGTCGGCCTGTCATCTTCCAGCAGGAGAACAGGTACGCCAGGTCAGTCCGCAGCATTTCCACAATCATACGGCAGTCCAGTGCCAAGTAAAACTGGTGTTGGTCGATGAACTGTCCATGGTGGGGAGAGAGCACAGTGAAAACACGGCCCGCAGCACAAAGCCATGGCTTCATAAACATTTCGCAACCAAGCGTTCTTCTCAGTTTTCATTATGAAACAATTTTCGAGTGTACCGTGGTGGGATTTGAACCCGGATCCCCTGGGTCACTGAATTAATATTCGAGTGATAATGGCACCCCTCCCTGAACATTGGATTATAAATTCCTGCTGAAATACCGAGGTGGTTTTGGAATTCTGTGCTTCTATCAGTTTTCATAGATCAGTCCCCTTCCCCACCCCCAACCCCAAAAATGACATCCTTACCCCCTCTCCAGGGCCCTCCAAACCAGTGAGCCCTCTTGGACACTACCTACCTACCATCCCCCGCATTATGGACCCACTCCACCTCTAACCTGATGTTCCCGAGATCCCCAACACTGTCCCACCCCCCCACCAATCCTACAACCCCTTTCAATGCTTGCATCAATTCTACCCCCTCAATGCTTGTCACTGCCATCACACCCATCCCCTCCCAGCACCCCTACTGTCGACCCCTCTCACTCCCATACCATACTGCCTGTTCCATTCCTTTCACTCCACACTCCCTCCTATCCCATCCCACCCCACCACCATCCCAGTCCAGATCCATAACCCTTTCTCCCTCCTCTTCCCCACCAACTCATGAAGGTGGTAGTTGGGGGAATGGTGGACTCAAACCCTCGACAGCAACACATTCACCCACCAACCAAACAGGTTCTGCAGGAATGGGAGAGATGAGGGAAAGAAAGGGCACCCACAGAAGTGACTTGAAGAGAGAAGTATTCAGAGATACCAGCGAGTAGTACTCGCTGCTTCTTAAAGCGGTGTTATTTACCCTAACACAAGAGGGCAGTATGAGGGGGTTAAATAGCCATCTGGCTCCCGTCCTCAAGAAGAGGTCATTGCCTGTGGTATTATCTGTTAATCTAGAGACCCAGGTAATGTTCTGGGGGCCTGGGTTTGAATCCCACCATGGCAGATGATGGAATTTGAATTCAATTTTTAAAAAAAAAAATCTGTAATGCAGTGTCTAATGATTTCCATGAATCAATTGTCAGAAAAACCCATCAGGCTCACTAATGTCGTTTAGGGAAGGAAACTGCCATCCTTACCTGGTCTGGCCTACACGTGACTCCAGACCCACTACAATGTGGTTGACTCTTAATTGCACTTTGGACAATTAGGGATGGGCAATAAATGGTGGCCTGGCCAGTGACAACCTCATCCCGTGAATGAATAATAATAATAAAAATAAAATCCTCACCTGTGGAGTGAAGGCAAAGGTCTGATTTCTGATGACGTACAACTTGGAGGTGCCGAGGACCCCAATGTGTCTATACGGGCGCCCGCTGAGTTTGAGCTTCTTGTTGCAGCCTGGAATGATAAGGAGCGCTCACACATTGGGCACCAGGCAGCCTCTACCTCTCTGCAAAGTCTACCAAACCTCGCCCTGGGCTGATGGCCATTGGAGGTGCCAGGGTGTGCCTACTGCCTTGCACTGACTTAAGGCTGGCATGGGTCCTAGTTACATCAAGTTGGGTCCCTCTGCCTTACAGAACAGGCAATTGGCTAAAACTCCCATAAAGAGGAACCTAGAGTCAGAGGACCAGCCCCTGGCGGAGGGGTGGGAGGATGAGGGGGTGAGATTGTTGTATAGGGGGTGGGTGGGGGAAGTGGAATGTGTTTCATTTTGGTGGGTCAAACCAGGGCAGAACTTACACAATCAATTGTGGGGCCCTGGGGGTGTTATTGAACGGAGATCAAGGTCTACAGGTTAATAGCTCCTCGAAAGTGGAGTCACAGGTATTCAGGGTGGTGAAGCAGCCTTTTGGCATGTTTGCTTTCATCAGTGACAGCACAGAGTAGAGGAGTTAGGGGATCTTGTTGCGTGAGGCCACATTTGGAGTGGTGTGTGCAGTTCTGGTCGCCCTACTATGGAAAGGATGGTATTAAACAAGAAAGAGCGCAGAAAAGATTTACTAGGATGCTTCCTGGACTGGAAGGTTGGAGTTAGAAGAGGAGGCTGGACAGGCTGGGACTTTTTTCCCTGAAGCACAGGAGACTGAGGGGTGACCTTATAGAGGTTTATAAAATCATGAGGGGTATAGGTAAGGTGGATAGCCAAGAGCTTTTCCCCACTGTAGGGGAGACTAAAACTAGAAGGCATAGGTTTAAGGTGAGGGGGAGAGATACAAAGAGGGCAACTTTTTCACACAGAGGGTGGGGAGAGTCTGGAACAGGCTGCCAGAGGTAGTGGTGGAAGTGAGTACAATTTAGTCATTAAAGAAACATTTGGACAGGTACATGGATGGGATAGATATGGAGGGATAGGGACTAAATACAGGCAAACTAGTTTAATTGTGAAAACTGGGCAGCATGGACAAGTTGGGCCGAAGGGCCTGTTTCCATGTTGTAAACCTCCATGACTCTATGACAGCTGGGAGCAGTGGGCAGTGGATAAAGGGGACATCCTGCCATTTTGGGACAGTGAGGAAGGGGTAGGATCATGCAGGTTATTTCCCTCATGGGATAAACCCAAACTGGGGGACACAGTTTAAGAATAAGAGGTCTTGTTTTTCACACAGAGATGGGTAATAAAAAAAACTTCTCACAGGGTCATGAGTCTGGGGAATGCTCTTCTTCAGAACACAATGGCATAAAAGGCTTAGCTGACTTTTGAGAAACAGGGAGTTAAGGGTTTTAGGAGGTCAGGCATGAAAGTGGAGCTGAGACCATAACCAGATCAATCATGGTAGAGCAGAATGGAAGGGCCAAATGGTCTAATTGTGCTTTTAAACTCTACTGTTATGATACCAGCTCATGGTAATAGTGAACAGGCCAGATCCCAAAGTCAAACCTGACTCGAAAGACCACGAATTTTATTTTTACAACAGGTTAGTCATTCAGTCACTGAATACATTAGCACGAGGTTGTCAGTGCACTTCTAACAACAGAACACAACTTTATTACATAAAAGAAAAAAATTCTACATATATTTATGACAATTTGGAAAGATCTTCTAATAAACAACAAGAAGAAAGATTCAGCTCTTTATTCCCCCAGCTTGAATCCTTACAGACAGTCAATCCCAGTAAAGTTTCACTCCAGTTGTCCCTGTTTAATTGCACGTTAAATTGACAAGGTCACAAGCATTTCCTTTTGGTGACTTTCTGCACAATCACCAGCTGTGATTCTCTCTGTCTCTCACACACAGACACAGGCTAACTCACTGACTTTTCTTCAATGGACTCTAAAAAGGTTCATGCTTTATCCCATCCTGTCCATTCGGAACAGTTTAAGATCCCTTTTCGGCTTTGATGGCCTAGAGACTGCCGTAACTTAAACTGACCTGCTCCTCATAATGATTATTTTCTTCTGAACTGAACTTGCTCCAGCCTCCGATTTCTCTTTCTGAAGGTCATAAAAGTTCAACTTAGTAAACACTTCCGCAGTTATCACACCAGGTAGCTGATATAGTCATTTAGCTTTGTTCCCAATTGGAGATTAGCACGTAAAATTAAAGCATGTGGGATTCAGGTGGTGTGCTGAGATGGATAGAACTGCCTGGCAGTGAGGAAACAAAAGAATAGGAATAAACAAGTCATTTTCTCAGTGACTGGCTACTGCAGGGATCAGAGCTTAAACCCTGGCCGTTCACAATAATATGTTAATAATTTAGATAACCAAAGGAGATATCTCCAAGTTTGCAGCTGACACAAAGTTTGGTGGGAGGGCAAACTGTAAAGATGGATGCAGAAATACTTTAGTCTGATTTGAACAAGTTGAGTGAGTGGTAAATGCACAGCAGATGTGGTATAACGTGAATAAATGTGAGGTTATTCACTTTGGTAGTAAAAGCAGGAAGGTGAATATTATTTGAATAGCTATAAATTGGGAAAGGGGGGGAATGCAATTAGACCTTGGTGTCCTTGTGCACAGTTCGCTAAAAGTAAGCGCATGGGTGTAGCAGGCGGTGAAGCAGGTAAATGGGATGCTGGCCTTCATAGTGAGAGGATTCGAGTACAGGAGCGGGGATGTCTTGCTGTAATGGCACAGGGCCTGGTAAGATGACCCCTGGAGTACTGTGTGCAGTTTGGGTCTCCTTACCTGAGGAAGGATGTTCTGGTGATGGAGGGAGTGCAGTGAAGGTTTACCGGGCTGATTCCGGCATAGCAGGACTGATGTATGAAGGGAGACTGGATCAGTTAGGATTATTTTCACTGGAGTTTAAAAGAAAGAAGGCGGGGGGGGGGATCTCTTATAAGTTCCTAACAGGACTAGACTGGGCAAATACAGGAAGATATTCCCAATGACCAGTGCATCCAGAACGAGGAATTGTAGTTTAAGGACACAGTTTAATTTAGCTAAAGGAGTTAATATTTTAGTTACTGGAGTTTAACATAGATAAATGTGAGGTGCTGCATTTTGGGAACGCAAATCAGGGCAGGACTTATACACTTAATAGTAAGGTCTTGGGGAGTGTTGCCAAACAAAGAGACCTTGGGGTGCAGGTTCATAGTTCCTTGCAAGTGGAATCGCAGGTAGACAGGGCGGTGAAGGAGGTGTTTGGTGCACTTACCTTTATTGGTCAGTACATTGAGTATAGGAGTTGGGAGGTCATGTTGCAGCTGTACAGGGCATTGATTAGGTCACTTCAGCAATATTGCATTCAGTTCTGGTCTCCCTGCTACAGGATGGATGTTGTGAAACTTGAAAGGGTTCAGAAAAGATTTACAAGGATGTTGTCAGGGTTGGAGGGTTTGAGCTACAGGGCGAGGAGCATTGAAGGCTGAAGAGTGACCTTATGGAGGTTTATAAAATCATGTGGGACATGGATGGGGTGAATAGTCATCGTTTTTCCCAGGCTGGGAGGAGTCCAAAATTAGAGGGCATAGGTTTAAGGTGAGAAGGAAAAGATTTCAAAGGGACCTTAGGGGCAACTTTTTCACACAGAGGGTGGTGTATGGAACGAGCTGCCAGAGGAAGTGGTGGAGGCTGGAACAATGACAACATTTAAAAGGCATCTGGATGGGTATGTGAATATGAAGGGTTTAGAGGGAATTGAGCCAAATGTTGACAAATAGGACAATATTAATTTAGGATATCCGGTCAGCATGGACGAGTCAGACTGAAGGGTCTGTTTCTGTGCTGCACAACTCTACACGGGTAAGGTCATTAGGATGGAGATGTGGAGAAATTTCTTCACCCAGACAGTGGTGAGCCTGTAGAATTCCCTACCTCAGCAAATGGTTGAGGCCAAAATATTGAATGTTTACAAGAAGGTGCTAGATATAGTTCTTAAGGCTAGAGATCGAAGGACTTGCAGGAGAGAGCAGGAACAGGGGAGTGAAATGGAAGTTGCTGGAAAAGGTCAGCAGGTCTGGCAGCTTCTGTGAAGAAAAATCAGAGTTAACGTTTCAGGTCTGGCGACCCTTCCTAGGAACTCAACGGAGTTGGAAAATCAGCCATGATCCTACGGAATGGCGGAGCAGGCTCGAATGGCCGAATGGCCTACACTTGTTCCTATTCTCTACATTGCCGTGTCTCGGGAATGCGGTTTTGACCCAACACAAAATAAAATTAGTGACTGATCCTTGATAAGAAACAAGTTTAAAAAAACAAAATGCCATTTTCCTCGACTTTAAAACCAAAGTCCCCAAGTAATTAATAAGTTACAAACATTATATAAATAGGTATTGAACAGGTCTGACCAACACATAACGATTGAACTAGTGGGAACAATATGAGATTCATGAAGCCCTTACCTAGTTTTGCATAAAGGTGACTAAGTATTCTTCCAGGCTGCACTCTGATAGGCAAAACATCAGAAACACCATCTACATAGAAGTTATGTTTTGCCAATATGTTCTTTATTTTTTCAGTTTCTGCCAGTATAGACACTATACAACAAGAGAAAGAAACAACAGGAATGTAAATATAGTTTCATTATCAGTGTAACTGTTTCCACAACAGGAGCACATTTACTGATGTTTAAATAGGTTTCTAAGTGATGGCTGAGAATGAAAACATGAAGTGTTCGACCTGTTTCGATGAAGCTGTCAGCATTACTGCATGACCAACAGCAGTATAATTATTTCCCAATATGCTGAATACAAAGCTGACCGTCTTCTCAATAAATGCTTCAGAAAAAGAGAAAGGGATAACTTGCATTGATTTACTGCCAGTCCTGACCACAGGACATTCTAAGGTGCTCTGCAGCTGACAAAGTGGTTACTGCCGGTGTGTGGGGAGCAATTTTCACACAGCAAACCCCATAAATGGACTTCTTTGATCAGGATTTTGGCCAAACTGTCTTTGTTTCTGCTTGAGAACCCTCCTGCAAGGCAGCTCGGGTCATTTTACCGTCAGGTGTGCTAGATAAATGCAAGTTGCTGTTGCATTAAAAAGATCACAGGTGAAACTAATCTCTTGTTAAAGGATCTGGTGAACTTTGCTTCCAACACTATTGATCCGAAAAACAGAAACCTGCTGGTGAAACTCAGCAGGTCTGGCAGCATCTGTGGTAAGAAAGCAGAGTTGACGTTTTGAGTCTGGTGACTCTTCACCAGAATCCGCTAGTTCACCTCATCTGGTAACAGGCTGGGTTTTAAGTTTTTAAGATTTCCAGAGTGCTGCCTGGTTATGTGATTCCACAGGTTTGCTCTGGGAAGCACAGGAATTCTCTCCGACTGGTTTCTATGTCTCATAGCAACAATGGAATCATAGAATCCCTACAGTGTGGAATCAGGCCATTTGGCCCATCAAATCAGAGCATCCCACCGAGAACCAACCCAACCCTGTAACCCTGCATTCCCCGTAGCTGACCCACCTAGCCTGCAATCCTGAGACATTAGCAGCAATTTAGCATGGTCAATCCACCTAGCCTGCACATCTTTGGACTGTGGGAGGAAACTGGAGCACCCGGAGGAAACCCAGGCAGACATGGGGAGAATGTGCAAACTCCACACAGACAGTTGCCCGAGGATGGAATCGAACCCGGGTCCCTGGCGCTGTGAGGCAGCAGTGCTAACCACCGAGCCGCCGTGCTCTCTCTGCCTGTTCAGCGCACAGTGTACTGACCCTTGAGAGGTTTTCCTTTGTGGATCTTTAGGCTGCTAAAAAGTCCGCGTTATTATTGTAGCCATGATAAAAAAAATGAATGAGTTACACCTTCAAGGTGTTATTAAAACAATTCTTGCAAGAGAAAGTGAGCTACTTTTTTCAAATAATGTCCACACGCTAACAGGCATATGAATTCTGTTTGAGCTCATTGTCTGAGCCATTAACAGCAGTGAAGTTTAGAGACTGAAAAGTATTGATTAGTGGCAGTCGAAATAACTAACTGACCTTGTACCACAACATCAGGCCTGCTAATGGTGGACATTCGTCGGCTCAAAGGATCAATCTCCCCAGGAGCGAGAAATCCCTGCAAAACAAAGCAAGGCCCCAATCAGTGGCAAAGCTGGTGGTCGTGGTGGTGGGCGAACAAAAGAGCAGGAGTAGGCCATTCAGCCCCTCAAACCTACTCCGCCATTTAACATGATCCAGTTGTGCACCCAACTCCACTTTCCTGTCTGCCCCTGTATCCCCCACCATACTCCCAATAATCCTAGACTCCCCTGTCGATCAAAAACCTAACTCAGCCTTAAATAAATGTGAAGACCTTCTGGGGCAGAGAGTTTCACACTCTTAACAACTCTCTCAGGCAGTAACCTTCTCCTCGTCCCGGTCTAAATGGGTGATCACCCCCAGTTCTGGTCTCTCCCCACAAGGGGGAAAACATCCTCTCAGCATCCACCCTCTCCCGTCCTGTCAGGATTATATCAGTTTTCCATAAGATCACCCCAAAGGAAGCAGGCCTAACGTCTTCAACCTTTCTTCATTAGATAACCTTTGATCCCAGCAACAAGTTAAGAGAATCTTTTTCTCAAATAAGGGGATCAACACGGTACATCTACAGTGAAGCATCCTTGACCATATCATGATGATGCTGTCAACTTAAGAGGTGATTTTGTCCTGGATTTTTTTTGTTTGAAGACGGGTTGTGAGGCAGAGGTGGAAAACTGGCTACTGAAGGTGACTTGAGTAAACAGCTTGCGAGGCCTTCGGCTGGTTTTAACGGCCTGAATGAGTGCGGCCAGCTCTCACAGATCCAGATTTCTGAGTTTTGGTCTTTTCAGTAACATCAGAAGCCTTTGGGGTTTCAAAAAGAGTTGGAAGCTGCAGTGAATGTCTCCCATCTGCTACTTTCCCTGATTTTTCTCTTGATGTTTTCTCCTCCTGGATTGGAGAACTGCATGTGAGAATCTGTGTCTGAATTTGCCTTTTTGCCAAGGGCTGTGTTTATGGGATACTACTATATTGGAGCAATTAATTTGTAATAGTTACTGTGTCTGTTATTTGGTTAAGTTTTCCAATAGTTAAGTTATTCTAAATTCCTTTCTTTTGTTTGTACTTTAATTATAATGTTTAAAAATAAATTGTGTTTTGCTTAACATCGAGTAGTTTGATCAGTCGCATTGCATCTGGAACAGAGCACTTCACACCTACCTTTAAAAATAAGAAAAAGTTAGGATGTAGGCTACTTTCTTGAAATATTCTGAGGGGTCTGGTCTGGTCCATAACAATATGCTCCATTCCTTTTGCAATAAACAACATTTCCATTGCCTTTCTGATGACTCGAAGGTACCAGAATCCTACCAGTGTCTGTCTCACTTACAAAGTGAGCAAACTCATCACCTCGACAGTATGTAGCCAAGCCTGCCAGAAAAAAAACTACAGCTCCCAAAGGCGAGACTTGCTGGAAAACAAGCAACTATCCATTCAAAAATAACTTCACAACCCTTTCAAAACTCTGTACAGAACTCTTCTTTTAACTGCCAAGCACAACGGATTAATGCCTCCCACAGAAAGCGGCTAATATTGAATCACCAAATAGTCACTGAAAGGACGACACAATCCACTGAGTGCTCCTCAAGGAGCTCTGTCTTTATGCCAGGGGATTCAACCGAACTAATTCTCACACAGGATTGCATTGTTACACTTCAGTAAAGTGTTATGGACCAGACCAGAGACCCTCAAATTATTTCAAGAAGGCAGTCTAAACCACAACTTTTACTCATTTTAAAGACAAATGTACAGTGCTGTGTTAAGATCTGGCAGATGGAATGCAATGTGGGAAAGTATGAAATTGTCCATTTTGGCAAGAAAGAAGCCTATTATCTGAATGGTGAGAGGTTACAGAGCTCTGAGTTACAGAGGGATCTGGGTGTCTTAGTGCATGAACCCCAAAGAGTAGTGTGCAGGTACAGCAGGTAATCGGGAGAAACAGATAGAATGTGATGGCTTATTTTGAGGAGAATTGAATTGAAGAGTGGGGAGGTTCTGCTCCAGCTGTACAGGACATTGATGAGACTGCATCTGGAGTACAGTGAACAGTACTGGTCACCGTACTTACAGAAGCATGTTAATGTGTTGGAAACAGTTCAGAGAAGGTTTACTGGATTGATACCTGGGGTGAATGGATTACCTTATGAGGAAAGGTTAGACAGGCTGAGCCTGTATCCGCTAGGGTTTAGGAGAGTTAGAGTGATTTAATTAAAACATCTAAGATCCTGAGGGGACTTGACCGGGTGGATGTTGAAAGGACGTTTGGTCTTCTTGGAGAATCTAGAACTAGGCATCATAGTTTAAAATTAAGGCAGCGCCCTTTTCAAACAGAGATAAGAAAACATTGTTTCCTCTAAGAGAGTTGAGAGAATTTGGAAATTCCTTTCTTGAAAGGCACTGGATGCAGAATCTTTAAATATTTTTAAAGGTAGAGGTAGATAGATATTAGAAGACCAAGGGGGCGAAAGATCATCTGAGGTATGCAGGAACGTAGAGTTGAAGTTAAAATCAGATCAGCCATGATCTTACTGAATGGCAGAACAGGCTCAGAGGACTGAGTGGCCCCATCTTGTTTGTATGCTCCCAACATGCAGTGCCCAGAACTGTACCCAATGTTGTGGCTGAGATCTGATTGGTACTTGTACAAGCACAGGCAGGTTTGAAGGAGATTAACTTGCCTGACCTTTGGGCCACAGCGATGCTATCTTCGTTTGCAAAGGGATCAACAAAAAGTCAGCAGCCGATCTGGAACGGGTCAATTGGTCAGCCTGGCTGGGTGTGGGCACAACTATGTCAAATATGACAGCTTTTTAAACAGCAAAAGCATTAAAAAGATAAAGAAAGCAGGATGGGTGGTGAGTGAAAGGCCATGGGTCCATGTCTACTTATGTAACTAAAACTAAAAAAAAGTGTTCTTACGAATTAAAAGCGCAAGAAGAAAAGTATAAGTGTGATTTGATAGTGCCTAGGGTAGAGACTGAGGATCGAGTGATGAGCCTCTGAGGTACTTTCTGTCATCACTGCAACCCCAATATCATGTGATTGAACTCTGCTAGAAGGTTGGAGCTTGTCTCCAGCTGAGAGTGTGCTGCATTGTAGCCTTCTCATCATATAAAGATAGTTAATAAACATTGTTTGAAAGGAATCTAGTAATCCAGCCTGAGCTCGTTCAAACAACAGGAGGATCCAATGTTTAAGCAGGTACCTCAGCCAGTAGAGTCCCAAGGATATATAGTGACTGTCCCCACAAGTGAGGCAATTTTCCCTTTGCAACCCTGTCCACAGTATGTGGGTTTTCATTTTCTTCATCCACCTGGAAAGAACCAACAGGAGGTTTATATTAGATTGGAACCACTGCTCAAGGTGGGAGCTCATAGACACAAATTTAACTCAAATCTTTCCAACAGAAGCCAAGTCGAAAACTGTCCATTCTTGTCAAATCACTTCAATTCACCACAGTAGGAATTTTACGAAAATATTCGCATTTTACTGTGAAGATGGTGTAAATGTTACTAGTTTCAAAATCCAGAGGTTGAGGTTAATGGGGTGGTGACTCAGGTTTAAATCCCACCACTGCTTCTGGTAATATTTAAATTCAATGAATAAATCTGGGATCGAAATCTAGTCTCAGGTGATGGTGACCACAAAATGATCATGAAAGACTACTGTGTCCAGTTCTGGACGCCCTGTTGTAGGAAGGATATTATTAAATTAGAGACAGTTCAGAAGAGAATTACAAGGATGTTGCCGGGAATGGCGGGTTTGAGTGATGGGGACGGGGCTGGATAGGCTGGGATATTTTTCACTGGAGCATAGGAGAGTGAGGGTTGACCTCAGAGGTATATAAAATCACGAGGGGTATAGATAAGGTGAATGGTAGGTGTCTTTACCCTAGGATTAGGGATTTCAAGACTACAGGGCATATTTTTAAGGTGAGAGGAGATTTAAAAAAGACAAGAGGGGCAATTTTTTTTTTAAACATACAGAGTGGTTTGTGTGTGGAATGAACGTCCAAATGAAGCCATAGCCGTACAGCACAGAAACAGACCTTTTGGTCCAATGTGACCATGCCAACCAGATATCCTAAATTAATCTAGTTCCATTTGCCAGCATTTGGCCCATATCCCTCCAAAACTTTCCTATTCATGTACCCGTCCAGACGCCTTTTAAAATGTTATAGTGTGGAAGCGCCGGTGTTGGACTGAGTTGGACAAAGTCAGAAGTCACATGACACCAGGTTACAGACCAACAGATTTATTTGGAATCACACAAGCTTTCAGAGTGCAGCCTCTTCGTCAGTTGCAGTGAGAGGGGAGAGCACACAGACACACAGTTACACAGTTATAGGCAGAGTGATAAAGGGCAGATAGATCAAGAGATCATACAACTGGTGTGAGAGGAGAGTGGAGATAATAAGTCTCTGCATGTGACCAAGAGTGTTGGATAGTGAGTAAAGTGTCAACAGCTGAATGACCAGTGAAGGGATGACCTATAATCCAATTAAATGAGGCAGAGAGATAATTACAAAAAATTAAAAATAAGGTGATGCTGGAGACAAACTAAATGACTGGAATAACATGATAGGTATAAGAGTTGCTTGCCGAGGGTCTAACCAAAGTAACAAGTAATCCAAAACTGTACAAACCGATTAAGGTAGAGAGATCATTACAATTTATCAAGGTGATGTCGTCAAAACAGGACAGTAAGGAAGACTTTACAGAATCAGAACAGTGTGGTGGGGTCACATGTAGCATGACATGATCTCGCTGCTCTTGATCTCTCTGCCTATAAACTTTGTGTCCGTGCGCTCGTCTCTCTCACTGCACCTGAAGAAATAAACCTATTGAACTACAACCCGGTGTTGTGTGACTTCGGCCTTTTACATGTTGTAATTGTACCAGCCTCAACCACTTCCTCTGGCAGCTTTTTCCATACATGCACCACTCTCCGTGTGAAAAAGTTTCCCCTTAGACCCCTTTTAAATCTTTCCCCTCTGACTTAAATCTATGCCCTATAGTTTTGGACTCCCCCAGGCCAAGGAAAAGACCTCAGTTATTTGCTCTATCCATGCCCCTCATGATTTTATAAACCTCTATAAGGTCACCCCTCAGCCTCCAATGCTCCAGGGAAAATAGCCCAAGCCTATTCAGTCTCTCCCTATAGCTCAACAGCCTTCCTATAGCAGGGAGACTAAAATTGAATGCAGTAGTGGTCTAACCAATGCCCTGTACAGCTGCAACATGACCTCCCAACAATAAAGGCAAGCATACCAAACACCTTCTTCACTATCCTGTCTACGTGGGTCTCCATTTTTAAGGAACTATGAACCTGCACCCCAAGGTCTCTTCGTTCAGCAACACTCTCCAGGACCTTAGGAAGTGGTGGATGTGGGTACAGCTACAACATTTAAAAGACATTTAGATAAGTACATGAATAAGAAATGTTTGGAAGGATATGGGCCTGGCATGGGCAGGTGGGACTAGTTTAGTTTGGGATTATGGTCGGCATGACTGGTTGGACCGAAGGGTCTGTTTCCATGCTGTATGTATCTATCTCACTCTCTGAAATATCTTTTAGAAAAGGAAATCCGCTGACCTTACCAGGCCTGCAGTCTGGACGATATATCTGGCCTTGACTGGCCTTTATCAGTCATGGCATGGATACTAAGGGCCAGGAGGTGATGTTGGAGCTGCACAGAACTTTGGTTGGGCCATAGCTGGCGTACAGTTGGTGTGCAGTTCTGGTCACCACACTATAGGGAGGATGTGACTGCACTGGAACGGATGCAGAGGATATTCACCAGGATGTTGCCTGGAATGGACCATTCTAGCAATAAAGACAGGCTGGATAAGCTCAGGTTGTTTGCTTTGGAGCAGAGAAGGCTGAGGGGGGGTACCTAATAGAGGTGGATAAGATTACGAGAAGCATGGACAGGGTGGATAGAGAGCAGCTGTTCCCTGCAGTTAAAGGGTCAGTAACAAGGGGGCAAAATTTTAAGGTGAAAGTCAGGAAGTTGAAGAGGGGATTTGAATGAACTCCTTTTCACACACAGAGGGTGGTGGGGGTCTGGAATGCACTGCCTGGGAAGCTATTGAGGCAGGAACCTCACAACCTTTAAAAAGGTCCTAGGATGAGCACTTGAAGTGTCATAACTAACATTGCAGGCTACAGGCCTAGTGTGGGAAAGTTGGACTAGTGCAGTTTTGGCAGCACATTCTCAATGGGCCGAAGGGCCTATTCAGTACTGTATGGTTCTGTGTGACTCCAGACCTACAGCGTTGAAGATGGCTCTTAGCTGCCTTTTGAAATGGCTGAATGAGCCACTGATTTCAAAGGGCAATTCGAGATGGGCAACAAATGCTGCTCTTGCCAACGATGCCCACGTCTAATGTAAGAATTTTAAAAAATCCACGTGGAAGATCGTTGCTAAATCACCATGAAGTATTGAGCCTGAACCCCTGGCTGCTCGCTGGTGACAAATATGAGTGAAATCCACTGCACGCTCTGTTATTCTGTGGGACAGGCAGGAGTCAAATGTACAAATTAACTCAAAATACTCCCATGCAAACCACAGTCAGAGTCAAGGAAGCAAAGAACTTTTGTAATGGAAGAAAAGTATTCAGTAAATCAACTAAATTAACATCCTCAAAACCTTTAATCAAAATACACAATTAGGACTCACTTAGAACATAGAACAGTACAGCACAGTACAGGCCCTTCGGCCCACGATGTTGTGCAGACCTATTATCCTACTAAGATCAAACTACCCTGCATACCTACATTTTACTATCCTCCATGTGCCTATCCAAGAGTCGCTTAAAAGTCTCTAAAGTATCTGTCTCCACTACCACTGCCGGCAGCGCATTCCACACGCCCACCACTCGTGAATGCTTCAGGCTGTACATTGTAAGTTAATGTGCAATGTTCGACATCTGCTCAATAAAAACAGCATGTGATTATAGCTAAGGATAATTTGTCATGAACTGATTAAAATGTCGTACCTTTTCTGGAGGAACAGCATAAAGTTCTGGAATGAGCCGTACGCCATTCTGCCCTCTTATAAGAGTCTCTTCCAGGGCCTCCCTATATTCTTCAATCTGTAACAAGAGACAGCAAAGAGACACAGAGCTTGGATCTCTACACAGTCAGCCAACCCCTGTGAGTTCCCCTCCAAGCTACTCCCCATCCCGACTTGGAAATATAATTGCCGTTTCTTCGGTGTCACTGGGTCAAAATCCTGGAATTCCCTCCCAATGGCATTGTGGGTCAACCCACAGCACATGGAAAACCCACTAACACAGAAACTGGGCACAGTCTCAGAATCAGGGGGTGCTGTTTAAGGAAGAGGATTTTCGTCTCCTCAGCAACAGTGGTCCGTCTAGACCACGCAGCTGCTCCATCAGCACACTCACGCTCACACTCACACTCCATGCGCTGTGCCGATGTTGTTCCCAGCACCGACTTCCGGTTTCTGGAAGCTGCTGCTCACATCGGAGACTCACCCTGGGGGAGGCACCAGAGGGAACTCAGCTCAGAGAGTGATCAACATTGAAACTAGGAGCAGGAACAGGCCATTTGGCCCATTGAGCCTGTTCCATCCTTCCACATGATCACAGCCCATTTGCTATTTCAAAGCCATATTCCCACTTTCTAAAATCTAAAAGCATATCCATCTCTTTCTCGAATCTATTCACTGACTTGGCCTCCACTGCTTTCTGTGGTAAGAGAATTCCACAGGTTCACTACCCCCGAGTGAATAAATCTTTCCTCATCTCAGTCTTAAATGGTCTACCCAGTATCTTGAGACTGCATCGCCTTGTTCGAAACTCCCCAACGAGAGGAAACATCCTCTCTGCCAGCCCTTACACATTGCAATCAGATCGTCTCTCATCCTTCTAAACTCTAGTGAATACACGCCCAGTCAAACCTATTTTTCTTCACAGAGCAGTCCTGTCATCCCCGGTATCAGCCTAGTAAACCCCAGCTGTACACCCTCTAAGGATATCCTTTCTTCAGTAGGGAAGACGCGAACTGCACACAATCCTCCAGGAGCCATCTCACCAAAGCCCTGTACAACTGCAGTAAGATATTCCTACTTCTGAATTTTAATCCTGTTGCAATGAAGGCCTATATACCATTGGCCTTCCTAATTGCTGGCTGTACCTGCATGTCTACTTCCATTGACTGATGCACAAGGACACTCAGATCCCTTTGCACATCCACATTTCCCAACATATCACCATTTAAACAATACTCTGCCTTTTTGGTTTTCACACCAAAATACATAAGTTCACATTTATCCACATTGTACTACATCTGCTCTGTGCTTGCTCACTCGCTCAACTTATCAAAATCACCGTGAAAGCCTCCTTGCATCCTTCTCATGACGCTCAATCCCACTCAGCTCTGTCCCATCAGCAAACTTGGAAATGTTGCATTTGGTTCGCTCGTGCGGGTTATTGATATATACCATGAATAGTTGGGGCACACTAGTACCCCACTAGTTACCATGATGAGAAAGACACCATTATTTCTATGTTCTGTTTCCAGTTTGTCACAGTTTCCATGCCAATACAGTACCAACTTTACTCACTAGTCCATTTGAATGAATACATTCTTGCCTCTTCTGAAATACTGCATAGAGAAACTGGGAAACAGACACGTTAATGCCACAAAAACAAAAATTGCTGGAGATACTCAGCATCGGTGGAGAAAAAGCAGAGTTAGCTTTTTGACTCCAGTGAATCTTTGTCAGAACTGATAGCAGCTAGGAAGAGGTGGTAAATATGCTGAACACAGAAGGTGGGGGTTCAGGAAAAGACAAAGAGGGAGTCCACAGAGAGAGAGAGAAAGTTAGGCAAACAAAGGAATGGATAATGGTGAGCTGTGAAGAACAAAAGATGATAATAGGGACTGTTATTGGATGAAAATGGGTTGGCTCTGCTGAAAGCAGCCCATGTGACAACAAGGCCTGTGGTGTGGGGGTTGGGGTAAGGACATGGAAGGAGGCATTAAGGCCTTAAAATTACTGAAGTTGATATTGAGGCCTGAAGGCTGTAAGGAGTTCCCAAGCGGTAATGAGGGGCTGTTCTTCCAGCTTGCGCTGAACTTCGCTGGAGCACTGCAACAAGCCCAGGACGGAGATGTTAGCCAGGGTACGTTATGGTATGCTGAAGGGGCAGGCAACCAGAAGCTCATTTTTTACAGACAGAACGTCGGTGTTCTGCAAAACAGTCGCCCAGTCTGTGCTTTGTCTCACCAGTGTAGAGGAGACCACGTTACGATGAGGAGTGAATACGATAAATACAAATCCAAAAAAAATTCACAGCACATCAGTTGTCCCATCCAGGGTGCTGTCTCCAGGTTGGGAAGGTGGGATGTACAGTGGGAAGGTGGGAAATATACTGGGAAAGTGGGAAGTACAATGGGGAGTTAACCCAACCAGTTTACACCCTGCCTTGAGAGAAAGTTGAGAGCTGACTTTGAGACACACAAATACGGAAACAGTAACCAGATAATTACTGAAGTGAAATTGAGAGCAAGATTAAGTTAGAGAGTTAAGCCATGTGTTCAAGCAAAAGAATAGGCAAATCTATAATTTAATAAAATTAATTTCATAGCCCTACATCTCAAATGTATGATTAGATTCCTATATGTGGCACAGAAATGCACAATATCATTTTGAGGATAGATATGGTAACAGAGGTGAAGTATATGGAATGTGAGGTACAATGTAATGCTGCGTACTGTTGCTAAGCAAAGATGTGATTTGTACAGGGGTAAATGATTACTCAATGACCAGGGCTTTTTGCCATTCATAAAACCAATGTCCTACCTGCACCTTATCTTCTTTAAACACCCCGTCAATGAGGAGATAGGTCCAGAACACTGGCCATTCACATTCAATGTTCTCAAACAACTGCAGTTCAGCAGAGTCATAATGTAATCTATTAGGGTCCTGAAGGTAAATACAAAGCTTTAATTAAAAAAATCTTATTCATCTGTTAATGCCATCATTTTCAAAGGATTGAGAAAAATCGAGGGAAGACACAAAGAATGGGAAGGTTTCACAAGGATACATTTTTATATCAAAAATATTTAAAGTGAGCTTGACTCATTTTTGTATTTTTCATGAAACAGTGTCAAAACTCGAGCAGCACACTGATGGCATTAGCAAGGACCAGCTGCACAGCAAGGCTGTATAAAGCAGCTTAAACCAAAGGGTTTTCGCACAACATATAACAGAATGAGGGCACAGCTTCTGTACACACTCAAAGCTCGTGCTAATCACCACACAGCCACTGTTAAATAGGTAGCAACATAACTCTGTACATTCATTAAGACTGTAGCTAATCACACATGATGTTTGATAGTGCCTTTACTCAACAATTGGACAGTGAGGAATTCACCAATACCTACCTCTCTCGGAGTTTTATAACCATCTCTCAGAAACCGACAGCATCCATACCGCCCCTGTATAACAGAAAGAAGTCGTCACAGAGCAAGTTTACTTTCTCGTGCAAATAGCTGGACAATACAATGCTGAAATGAGTCCCTATTGCGCACTAATGCATTTTCTTGAGTGTTGTTGGAGCTGTGCTCATCCAGGCAAGTGGGGAGTATTCCATCACACTCCTGACTTGTGCCTTGTAGATGGTGGGCAGGTTTTGGACAGTCAGGAGGTGAGTTACTCGCCGCAGTATTCCTCACCTCTGACCTGCTCGTGGCCAGTGCGTTTATGTGGCGAGTCCAGTTGAGTTTCTGGTCAATGGTAACCCCCAGGATGTTGACAGCGAAGGATTCAGTGATGGTAACATCATTGATTGTTAAAGGGAGATGGTTAGGAACATTGGAAGCAGAGAGGCCATTCAACTCCTTGAGCCTGCTCGACCATTCCAGATCTAGCCCATTGTATTTGCTATACACAATACAGTCTTCTTTACACTGGAGAGACACAGTGTGGGAGACCACTCTGTGGAACATCCCCCCCACCTCTGTCTGTAGGAATGGCCCTGACCTCCCAGTTGTTTTACCATTTCAATAATTCACCTTGCTCTCACACTAACATTCCTGTACTGGATCTGCTCCAACTTCCCAGTGAAACACAACGCAAGCTTGAGGAACAAGACGGGGTGGCACGGTGGCTCAGTGGTTAGCACCGCTCCCTCACAGCATTAGGGATCTGGGTTCAATTCCACCACCGGGTGACTGTCTGTGTGGAGTTTGCATATTCTCCCTGTGTCTGCGTGGGTTTCCTCCGGGTACTCCGGTTTCCTCCCACAGTCCAAAGATGTGCAGGTTAGGGTGGATTGGCCATGCTAAATTGCCCGTAGTGTTCAAGGATGTGGAGCTTAGGTAGGCTATAGGGGGATGGGTTGGTGTGGACTTGTTGGGCCAAAAGGGCCTGTTTCCACACTGTAGGGATTCTATAAATCAAGACCTCATTTTCCACTTAAGCACTTACAGCCTCCAGTGCGGAATATCAAGTTCCACAACTTGGGAGAACGATCTCTGTTCTCCACTTTTCTCCCACCAAGTGTCTTGATGGTATGGGTTTGCTCTCAGACAGACCTATTTTCTATTATTCATAGCTACCATTAACACCTATTTGGCACCTCTAACCCTCTTTGCTCCCCCTTTGTCAACAGCATAAGAAAAAATTAATTTCCGGCTCCCTTCAGTTCTGATTACCCCTAATCTATGTGCCTTTAATTTTGTTTCCTAATCTCCTAGATTGGACATTATCAAAAGCCTTCTGAAAACCCACATACACTATATCCACTGGCTGCCCCTCATTGATTCTGCCTATAATGTCCTCAAAAAATCCCTATCAGGCTTGCTAAATAGGATTTGGATTCATAATTCCATGAAGACACTGTCTAATCACACAACTATTTCGTAAATATCCAGCAATCATATCCTTTACAATACATTATAGTATTTTTCCTATTACTTATCTCAGGCTATCAGATCAATAGTTCCCTGTTTTCTCTCTCCCTCCTTTCTGAAACAGCAGGATTATATTTGCAACCTCCTGGTCTGCAGGCTTCATTGCAGAATGTACAGATGTCTGAAAGAGGATCACCAATAAACCCCCTCTCTCTGTAACCATCTCTACAAACACACCAGGCTGAAAGTGAAAACGTCCCGGAGATTCGTCAATTTTTAGTCCCTTTATTTTCTCCAATATTATTGTTTGGCTAATGCTAAATTTCTTTCATTTCCACACTCTCACTAGACCTTTGAATCTTAAGTATTTCAGGGAGACGTGTTCCGTCTTCCCCAGTGAAGACAAACACCAAGTATTTACTAAAGTTCTCTGCCATGTCTACATTTCCCATTATAATCTAAACCTGTCTCTGCCTGTGATTGGCTCACACTTGTCTTTACCAACCTTCCCCTACTTCATAACTATAGAAGCATTTCCAACCAGTTTCATGTCTCTTGATATTTTGCCCATATTTTCAATTTCTCTGCCCTCCTTGGGTGAACTCTAAAATTTTCCCGATTTGCAACGGTCACAACTTTTTTTTAGCAACTTTATTAGCCTCCTCTTTTGATCTAATATCATATATAGCTTCTGTCGTTAGCCATGTGTCTCTTCCTTACTCAGTTGGGGATTCTTGCTTTAAAGGAACCTTTTCTTTCCAAACCTAGGGTTAAATACTAACCATCACCTATTTACTGTCAAACTGTTTAGTAAATTTTTTCAGTATCCCACAGCCAACCTCTTCCTTGTACCTTCATAATTACCCTTGTTCAGATCAAAAACTCTGATTGAAAATTCAGATTGAATTAAAATGTTTTTCAAATAAAACTAAAAATTATCTTGTCGGAGATAGTCATTGTGTGTCGTGAATGTTACTTGCCACTTGTCAGGATATTGTCCAGATCTTGTTGTATTGGAACACGGACTGCTTCAGTATCTGAGGAGTCACAAATGGTGCTGAGCATTGTGCAATCATCGGTGAACATTCCCACTTCTGACCTTATGATGGAGGGAAAGTCATTGATGAAGCTGCTGAAGATAGTTGGGCCTAAGACACTACCCTGGGGAACTCTTGCAGAGATGTCCTGCAGCTGAGATGATTGACCTCCAACAAAAACGACCATCTTCCTATGTGCCAGGTATGACTCCAACCAGCGGAGAATTTGCCCCCGATACCCATTGATTCCACTTTTGCCAGGGCTCCTTGATGCCACGCTCGGTCGAATGCAGCCTTGATATCAATGGCTGTCACTCTCACCTCACCTCTGGAATTCAGCTCTTTTGTCCATGTTTGAACCAAGGCTGTAATGAGATCAGGAGCTGAGTGGCCCTGGCACAACCCAAACTGGGCGTCACTGAGCAGGTTATTGCTGAGCAGTGCTTGATGGCACTGTTGTTGACACGTTCCATCATATTATTGATGATTGGAAATGGACTGATGGGGCTGTAATTGGCCGGGTTGGATTTGTCCTACTTTTTGTGTACAGAACATATTTGGGAAATTTTCCACATTGTCGGGTAGATGCCAGTGTTGTAGCTGTACTGGAACAGCTTGGCGACGGGAGTGGCAAGTGCTGGAGCACAAGTCTTCAGTACTATTGCCAGAATGTTGTCAGAGCCCATAGCCTTTGCAGTATCCAGTGTCTCCAACCGTTTCTTGATATCACGTGGATTGAATTGAATTGGCTAAAGACGGATATCTGTAATGCTGGGGACCACTGGAAGAGACCGAGATGGATCATCCCCTCGGCACTTCTGGCTGAAGATTGCTGCGAATGCTTCAGCCTCATCTTTTGCACTGATGTGCTGGGCTCTTCCATCATTGAGGATGGGGATATTTGTGGAGCCTCCTCCTCCAGTGAGTTGTTTAATTGTCCACCACCATTCACGACTGGATGTGGCAGGACTGCAGAGCTTAGATCTGATCCGTTGGTTGTGGGATCACTTAGCTCTGTCTATCGCTTGCTGCTTTTACTGTTTGGCGTGCAAGTAGTCCTTGGTAGCTTCACCAGGTCAACATCTCATTTTTAAGTCTGCCCAGTGCTGCTCCTGGCACATCCTCCTCCATTCTCCATTGAAGCCTGAATGAAATGTAACCAACTACACTGCTGACCACCAGCCCCAGGGATTTCTGTATTTGGATCCCTAACTCTCACCCTCAGCTCCCAGCTTCTCACTACTAAAACAGACATTGTACCTTTCTTCCAAAGAGATAACTGAGCTCCATTTACCTCAGTGTTCCTCACTCAATTGGCCCACCAATGTCCCTTCAGTGACTTTCTCCTCCTTATCCCCCATTATTTACTGGCACACACATAACCTGACACACATATGACTTCTCCGTTCCGCCCCCAAACTGATTCATTAACACAGCAAAAAGCTGAAGAGCTGTAGGGACAGCAATCACATCCTGTTAACTGAAGCAAATATGGTGATAAATGTCACTGTCGATTAGATTAAGGGTTAAGAATATGGAGTTCTGGTCTCAATTTTGTTATGCTTTTGTGTGATTACAAAAGATGCTTGAAGTTTGGACCCAGCTGGTAAGCTTTTAGAAGAAAGAAACGCAGATACAGATCAGGAATACATTATTGAAACACCTTGGGACTGACAGCTTTTCAGGTAGCGGATAGAGGTTTGTTTGGACCCATTCAAATCCTTTGTCTGGACTGAACCCAAACAGTCCTGTAGTTCAGGCCTTGTGGGGGAGAAAAGAATTTCACTTTTGGATCCACCTGGGTCTGTCTGGGTCAAATGAATTTCCTTTCTCCCCAGAAGGTCAGCATTTGGGTTCATTTTTGAAAAGACCTTCGGTTTTGGTTTTCGGGTATGCCTTCAAAAACAAAAACCAATGAGTTTTGGTTTTCAAAGCTTTAAATTGAGGGGTGATAGATATAGGACAGATGTCAGAGGTAGGTTCTTTACTCAGAGAGTAGTAAGGGCGTGGAATGCCCTGCCTGCAAAAGTAGTAGACTCGCCAACTTTAAGGGCATTTAAATGGTGATTGGATAAACATATGGATGATAATGGAATAGTTTAGGTTAGGTGGGCTTCAGTTTGGTTTCACAGGTCAGCGCAACATCGAGGGCCAAAGGGCCTGTACTGCGCTGTAATGTTCTATGTTCTATGTTCTAAAACATAGAAGTAAGGAGAAAGCTCACCTGGAGAGCTGCTGCATTCCAGCCTCCTGCAATGAACCAACTAACTCAAGTCTGTCTGCTTAGAGAGAGAGAAAAAGGGCGGGTTCTAGAGAACTGGGGAAGGCCAGGAATCTACGTTGGGAGAAGAGGTGTCTAGCTTCAGAACAGATGCCAAGGAAGTATCTACGTAAGACTAGCGTGTGGGTAGCATGTATAATTCTCAGTGATACCAGTACTTGGACCAGGAGGTCATACTGTTGGGGACATACAATACACTCCTTCTACCTCGGTTACAATCTCTTCCAACCTCTTCCATCAGGTCGAAGATACAAAAGCTTAAAACACACGTGCCAACAGATTCGAGAACAGCTTCTTCCCCGCTGTTATTAGACTTCTGAATGGACCTCTCCAATTTTAAATATAATGTTGATATTGCTCTGTGTGTGCCTTCTCTGCAGCTGTAACATTGTGTTTCTCGCTCTGTTCTATTACCCAAACGCACTTTGTATGGTACGATCTGCCTACACTGCACGCAAAACAAGACTTTTCACTGTACCTAGTACACATGACAATAATAAATCAAATCAATATCAGAATGAGCATGACAAAAAGCCTACTGGGAGTGAAGGACACAGCAAAAAAAAAAATACCATCGACTGGGTTAAGTCTATTGGATTTCAATTTAATCCTGAAGTCTAGCTGCTTATCTCCTTAGCCCTGGTTGTTCCACAGATTTTGTTCTATAAATAATACTGGTCCGTCAAAGCCATTGCCTAATAAGTAATCGGGCTCGTCCAAAATTCTCATCACTGGGATCAAATAATGTCCATTTTCTGTACTGTCAGCTCCTATGTTCATACTAATTCCCCATCCCAAGGCAACAGACTGACTGCAATTTGATGTGGTTTTCATTAACTGCCTCATATATGCAACCTTGTTAAGTGCCTTATGGATGTCCACAGAGATGACATCCGTAGAAAGTCCTTTATCTACGCCACCTACTATATACTGACTAAGCTGCAGATAAACTCCTAAAGTATTCAGTATCAGGTAAACATAGAAAACAGGTGCAGGGGGAGGCCATTCAGCCCTTCGAACCTGCACCACCATTCAACATCATCATGATTGATCGTGCAATCTCAGTACCCCACTCCCACTTTCTCTCCATATTCCTTGATCCCTTTAGCTGCAAAGGCTCCCTCTTGAACATATCTAATGAACTCGCCCCAACAGCTTCCTGTGGGAGAGAATTCCACAGGTTCACAACTCTCTGGGTGACGAAATTCCTCCTCATCTCAGTCCTGAATGGCTTACCCCTTATTCTTAGACTGGTACACTTTGTTCTGGATTTCCCCAACATCAGGAACATTCTTCCCACACCTAGCCTGTCCAGTCCCATCAGGATTTTATATGTTTCTAAGAGAACCCCACTCATTCTTCCGTAGTAAAGTTGTCTCATTGCACTGGACAGCACAGATAGTTGACTTTTAAAAAAAACCTACCTGCAATTTTGTAATTATTTCATTCTTTGTGATATTTACGAGATCAATATCATCCACAGCAAAAGCCGGGTAAGAAATAATTGAGAGAAGTCCTGCATCAATCTCTTTAGATGTTGAAGCTCTAGGTAACATAGAAAGAAGAATGGACTGAAACAGAAAGAGAACAATGCCAATCAATTAAATAAGAACCACTCGCTTGGAGTTTGGGTTGATCAATAAAACGGCAGTGCTGCGATCAACTCACTCAGTCTCAATAATCTCTCTCGCACTCTTTCAGTCTCTCGCACTCTCTCTCAACATCTCTCTCTCACCTGGCAAAGCTGGACCTCATCAGGAAGAACATGAATCACCGACTTGGGACCTCCACGGGCACCAAACAAATCCAGTTCGTCAATTGCCTCCAGAGCTGCCTGCAGCAATTGGGAATAATCTGTTTACAACCAAAGCCAAAACAGCCTGCACCCAAAGCATTGCTTATTAAACAACAGTTAGCGAAACAGGAAACCACAGCCTCACAATTCACAGGCTCTTTTCAGCACTGCACAGATACAGCACTACTGTAGCATTTCTTAGCTCTCTGCCCGCCCGTGAGTTAATGGCAGGGTTCATTACCATTAATACAAACAGGAAAACACTGAAAAAGGTACAGTGTACCAGAAACAACAGCGACTGCTCCTTACAGTTTAAAGCATAACAGAATACAGACACAGAAGAAGAAATCTCTCAGCTTTGGATGTGAACGAACGATGACAATGAGGATATTGTTTATGGGAATCAGAAGGTTTCATGTCTAGAAGGCAGATAAAGAGATGAACTGTTCCTGAAGGGAAGAGGCACCGCAGCCACAGTCTGAAGTATAGAGGGTGGCCATTCAACCCATCACATTTGAGGGCAGCATGGTGACTCAGTGGTTAGCACTGCTGCCTCACGGTGCCAGGAACCTGGGTTCGATTCCAGCCTCGGGCGACTGTCTGTGTGGAGTTTGCACATTCTCCCCGTGTCTGTGTGGGTTTCTCCCGGGTGCTCCGCTTTCCTCTCACAGTCCAAAGACATGCAGGTTAGGATGGATTGGGCACACTAAATTGCCCACACTGTCCAGGGATGTGCAGGCTGGGTGGGTTGGCCATGGGAAATGCAGGGTTAAAGGGAAAGGGTAGGTGGGTGGGATGCTCTTCAGAGGGTCGGTGTGAACTTGATGGGCTGAATGGCCTGCTTCCACGCTGTACGGATTCTGATTCGGTCTATACTGGCTCTCCAAATATCTCACTCAGTGTTGCTTCCCCCAACTTTCTCTCTGTAATCCTGCTACACATTCAGATCCTGAACCTGCCTTGCCCACGCTCGCAGGGAGCATGCTCACTCCATCATAATGAGCTTTCTCCTCGTGCCGCCATCGTTTCTTCACTCTGTTCCATCTTATTCTCGATTCATCCGCCCAATGGGTACAATGCAGCAATGCCCACGCTTTGCCAACGAACAGCAGCTTAAACCAGTCAGGCTTTATAACTGCACCATCTCTGTGTCCTGGCAACTACTCAAGACAGTAGTGCACGCTGAACTGGGAAATCCCAGAAACACAATTACCCCAGCCAAGGGTAATAAGGAGGGGTTTGCCCAGGTCCAACAGCGGTCTGGCTGAAACCTCTACATCAGCTTGAAAGGGCTATCATTACAGCCTCAGGGAGACAGTGGTTCGGTGGTAATGTTACTGGCCTGAAGGCTCAATTCATTCTCCCAGGATGTCGGTTCAAATCCACCGGAACTTCTGGTAGAATTCAGATCTCAGTGATTAAATCTGGAATTGAAAGGTAGTCTCAGGGATGGTGATCATGGCAATGATCATCGATTGTTGTAACAACCCGCCTGGTTCACTAATGTAAATCTGGCCCACACTCTGCTTGTACAAATGGTTCAGCTCCAATGAATGACCACTTCCACTTGGTAAATCCCCAGTGTATAAAGTGTGACATCATTGATAGGTCCGAGAGTTTCCCAATGCAGCGTTCCGCACTACTGAGGTGACCTTACACTGGGGGCCTACTGTTTAGGGATTAGCTAACCAGGCCTCCAGCTGCTAGCAGCCCAAGGGAGAGTCAGACAGGTGGGGACGGTTCAAAATGGTGGCAGCAGCAGAGGAGGCAGCATCTGGGCTCCTCGGCCCAGGTCTCATCCATCCACCTGCTTTTTCTTTATTCTCTATCTTCCTCTCTCTCATCTTTCTTCCCCCCAAGATTTTAAAGTGTTCTTTTTTTCACCTTGGATCAGCTGAGGGCTGGAGACATGGAGCAGGGACAGTTATTAGACTGAGGACCCATGTGGGTGGTCAGCTGCTTGCGAGGCCAGTCAAACCATGTGTGGAACCCCCTCCCCGCTCCCCCAACCCGGCCAATCCCCCGCACTGACCTATTGCAATGTAATGTTTATCTGACTGTAATGTTTATCCTTTTAACTACAGGCCTTATTTTCTAACTCGTACTATGAATCACTGTAAAGTAACCTAACTTTTTAAAATTTATTTCTCTATTTTGTATCTAAGATTTGTACCTAGATACTTTGTGATGGCGTCGTGAGGGGCAACATCATAAATTTTTCACTGTACGCCTGTACTTCCGTACAACAAATCTAATTGTAATTCTATTCACACCAGCCTGAGCACTGAGCTGGATCAGGAGCTAAAGTCCTGGTTGTACTGGCCTGTTCCTTTAGTCAGGACGCCTGAAGCCTACAGCAGCGAACCACAGCGACAAACTATTAACAGAAACATGAAGAGGAGTAGAGCGCGCACACACGACCCTTCAAGACTGCTCTCCTACTCGATACAGCTATGGCCTCAGTCCTGCATTCCCCCCTCTGTCTCAGAAAGATTATCGACAAAGGTTAGGCCAGGTTCACCCCAGCGTTGTCACAGCAATTGCCCTTCACAACAGCACATGACACTTTCTTCAAAGAGAGAGGCTTTGCAAGGAGCTCAGCCGAACAGCTGGTGTTCCACGAATGAGAAGCAACATGCGTCTTGGGGATGTGAGACCACTGTAAATACGAGGCTTCATGACAGTTACCATGATGGTGTCACATCCTTCCTCAGCCACATCAGAAATCTTGAGAGACAGATCATGTCTACGTTCTCAGCAGCTGGCGAGGTTCAGGAAATCTCTCAGCCCGACAAAGCTCATATTGCGTTACACACAATGACACGTGCTGACATGTGACAACAGGCACGCTAACACGGCCTGCATGTTTGGCAAAGGGACGGGAGGATCTATAAATACGTTGAAATGGGGCGCACACATCGTCAAGTGATTGCTCATTTCTCAACGGAAACAAATATCGCTGCCAAAGGACAGCGAGCTGAACAGGTTGTTGTGAATGTCCGAATATGAAGCCAGTTACTCTCATTTCGAGATAATTGTTGCAAATGCTCATGCCAGTTCAACACAAAGCCATTTAAAAGTTGCTTTAGATTTCCCGATTGATGTGAATAATGCAAGATCACTTCCTCTCCCACAGGCAGTCACATCATGTCCTATATCATGGCAATGAGACCTGGCACACCGTTTCAAGTTAAATATGTTCTTTTTTTGAAAAGAAATCGATGCACTTGTTAATTACCTTTGCCATGCCCACAGAACTTGCGTTCAGCTCTGCTATTCCCTGGTTTGTTTTATCACCACGTTCCCACATGCCATAGTCCTGAAGTCAAAAAGAACAGACCACAAACAGTAACTCGCAGCCTGATTTGCACGGATACTCCCCCTGACCCTGCACGCTCCCCCTGACCCCACGCCCACACTCCCCCCAAACCCGCGCCCACGCCCATGCTCCCCCTGACCCCAGCCCACACTCCCCCCAAACCCGCGCCCACGCCCATGCTCCCCCTGACCCCACGCCCACACTCCCCCCAAACCCGCGCCCACGCCCATGCTCCCCCTGACCCCA